GAGAGCACACACACACATACATGCACACACACATACATTCACATATGCACATACATATGTAATGTACACGTATGCACATCCCTATACACATTCACACTCACACACACAATGTGCACATAAGCATGCACACATATACAGTGTACACACTCACACACACATTAGGAGTCATCATCCACCTCATTCAGTTTTTGAAATATGTACTTATTACAAGTGACTTGTCCACAGAGCAGTTACACACCCATGACAACAAAGCAAGTCTTTTTAATAAAAATATTTGTGCGTTTCTTCAACATATATTTATTAGCTTCGGACTAATTAAAGTGCTCAGAGGAAATTATTGCCATAGCTAAGTGTTATATTAAGTACATGATTTTAAAAGAGAGGAATTACTACTTCTAAATATTCTCTGATCGGTACCATCTATAAATTGGGAAGTACTTCAGTGAAGCAACTATAAAAAGAAACCGAAGTTTAGTGAAATAGAAAATTTGCAACTCCACAGGTGGTGGTGATGCAAGAACACTGTCCCAATGTTACAATGCTAAAGCTGCCATGCCTGGGACACGTGGATGCCCAAATCTTTCTGAACGACTGGCTGAAACTTGAGAACTTCATAGAAGAATGTAGACATCAAGAACATCGCCTGGACTCTGTTTTCAAAGTTAGCTTAGATGAGCAACTCTTTCTTTACAATCTGAGCTACCTCTCCTTGAAGACTGGTGACTAAACCACACGTAATAATAAGCGTCCTCTGGAAACCACACTTGGCTTTCATTAGGAACTTTGGTGAAAGCCACGGCCAGTGAAGGACGGGCTCCCTGCTTTCCTGCACCCTCTGGCCACACAACACTAATCTCAAAAGGATTTTCATAGGATTCTGTAGGTGACAGCTCTTTCATGGCTACTTCCAGACTATTTAAGGCATAGCTAAAGGGAGGGGAACACGTGAACCTAAGTCTGAGGGAGAAATATGCAACTTATTCTGGGAATGTGGAATATTCTAATTCAGTGTATTTTAAACAGCAATTTGTGATTCATTAGTAAGTCAAGTCATGAAGATAATGATAAATCAACCTTTTAAATGCAATACAACTGAAATTTAATTATACTTAATATACATGAAAAAATAGAAATTACTGGAAGGAACCGTGTGAAAATGAAGTAGGTTGTTATTTTTAAAAATAACAGTTATTTCAGATGTTGATGTGAATGTTTGAGTGTACGAATCTTAATAAATGCCTTCATTTCTCTGTGTCAGGGTCCCAGGGGAAGCCCAGGGACTTTGAATGGCAGGAGCCAGAGCCTTCTTTGCCCTCTTGCTTCCCAGCAGAACTTTAAGATTATATTCCTATTTTAATTCATCACGAATACTAAGTTCATAAGAATTCTGATAGTGATGTATTTTATGTGGCCACTTTTAGAATCTGAAAACAAGAAGTTTCTGCATTCCGTACGTAGGTATGAAGCTTTACCCCCGTTCTCCTGCTTTTTCGGTTTTACATATTCTCCCTAAAGCTCCTACAAACATATAATGTGATTTGAAGCGAGCACCACTCGAGGGGCCCTCATCTTTATCACATGTTGGTTTTTGACCTTGACACTCATTCAATTAGAACTGACTTGCCCATCACACACTGTTGCTAAAGTCTCCTGGCTCACAGCATTGAGAAGTTTATTTAGTTACTAAAGATTTTCCAATGAAGCTGGGGACAAACAGAAAAACAAAGTCTTACAACGTTAGAGCATGCAAACTAGTGACAGAAGAAGGTGCGTTTCAGATGCTAATATTTCCGTTCATATTAAAACGGTGGAGAAGTTACTGTGAATGGAGGGAGTTCACAAAAGGCCTCTTTTGGCAACTAAGACACTCAAAAGTTCTAGATGGTGTGGCTATTTGATCTTTTCTTGACATGGACCTCAGTTAGGGTGGCCCAAGAGTTTCCCAATTACCATGTCAATTTGCCTTTGATTTCAGATTGCAGGTTACCAGAAAGTCCACATCAGAAGTTGGGCATACATCACTCTCTGAAAGAGCAAGGCTTGTTAAGACTGTCAAGTACCATTCACAAATTTATGCCTACGGAGGTGCTCCCTCTGGAAAGGAACCAAATAACTCATGCTTTTTGAAAATTGCTTATGACAGCCTTTCAGTCCGCTTTAGGGTGGCTCTCCGTGGTGATTTGTATTCTCATGTGCTGCTCATACATTAAAAAATTTACACCTGTCAGATATTGACAGAGTACTCTACTCCTAACCTGTTTCAAGAGGGGAGGCTTTGCTTCTAGACATTATCCAAATAAATTTCTATCAAGAGTAAGGGTGATATAACGTGTGGAGGCATAAGAAATATGAAGCACATAGGTATGGAATTTTAATAAGAAATGGTCTCTGGACCTGTGAAGAGATGTACGTTGCAATATTCCTACAGTATCTGAAACTACAATTCCAACCACACGCTAACAGTAGAGAGAGACTGTAATTCTAGCTCCAGCGTAGAACTTGCAAAGTTTGTTTTATTGTTCAGAATGGAATCATATTTTTCTCCTTGCCTCTGTGACTTATGCTTAGAATTAGGAAAAATAAGACTATCCATGGTATCTTTGTTCTGCGTTTTAAAATAAAAGACAGTAAATAGCATAGCCAAGCTGTTCGTGTTCACAATTTGGTTTTACTAGCTGCTGAAATTGCTTGTACCACAGGGGCTGGTAAAAATCTCACTCCTGCAGACCACTGTTAGAACGTTCTTACCAAAAAATAATGCTGGAATTTAACAGTATGTCAAAGGGTGATGGGATCAGGACATGTTAACCCAATCAGCATGACACGCATGATCTGAGCCTTGTGTATAATTGGCACAGAAATATGCAAAGAGATTTTCTTTTTGTTTACTTAGAACATCACAAGCACTAGACAAAAACTGCATTTTGTTTAGAGAATACAGGGCATGAGTCTTTCAGAAAATGCCCTCTAATTGATTCTTACCATTTGGAATGGCATGTGGGTTGTCTTAGGGTGGAGAGCAAAAAAAAATAAAACAGCAATGACAAATGAGCTACCCAGACACTTGGGAAATGAGATGGTACAGATGAAGCATCAAGGCAAATGTCCTGGTCCGTATTTAATGAAGCAGGAATTAATATCCCTTGGAACATAAAAAGTTTTTAAAATCCTCTTTGTGGCTCTAAATAACACACAGCAACTCTTCTGGGCAGTAATACTTAATTATCTTTGTTCTTAAAGTCTAATAAATGGCTATACGCCAGTGCTGAAAATACAATTTGTCAATTGCAAAATAACGTTATTACAGTTACCACTGTCCTCGGTTATAAAAAGAGGCCCGACCTCAGGCATCTACCCAAGATTTATTATGTTTTCTTTATAAATGGTATAACAAATGCTGAATTGTTGGCATTAAGCTGTTAATTTGTCTCATTTTAGGAATAATCTCTTTTTGGGCGTTGTGTAATATGGAATGCTAGTGCAACCTAAGTGTGTAAAACTGAGTTATGTGTACTCAGAGAGCAATGGAGAATATCATGGTTGTGCTCCATGTTCTGTGGACATGCTTCCAAGTGAGACCAGGTTCTGTTTGGTCTCTATATGGAGAACACCAAAGGCCAGGCCAAAGTAGGGGTTGTTGCTGACATGTTTCAGGTCATAGTTCATAACCAAGGAGCAGTGTAAGGAGGCGTGGGGCCGTGGGATGTTTCAGCAGACAGTCAAGACTCTCACTTGGCATTCAAATCACTTTATCTATAAAATTACATCTGCATTGCTGATGGACTGAGTGGATCATACCAGATAGTCTCTAAAGTCCATGAATACTAAGAACATCTAGTTAAAGTCAAGACATAAACGTGGTAAGTAGATCACAGGGCCAGAGGCAAGTAGATATATATTTAACCCCTCCTGAATCATTAACTGCCTTTCCTGTATCCATTTTAAATCAGAATCTAGGATGTAACTCAGTGGGATCCTGTTTGCCTCCTATGTGCAAGGCCTTAGGTCCATTTCCCTCAATGCAAAACCCAAACTACCTAGTTAAATTATCACTTATGGACTAGACTAGAGATATAGGTGTGCTTATTTACATTAAAGATCATCTTTTGTTCATAATTAAGGCTTCATTTTAGTTTGATTTAAAGCCTACAGAATTTCAATGATAAAACAAGATGTGTTTTTACTCTTTAAAACATTGATTTAGGAGGCTGGGAGATGGCTCAGTAGGTAAAATGCTTGCTGAATAATCATGAAAAACTGACTTAAGATCTCCAGAACCCAAGTAAAAACATAGGCAGTATACACCTTTAATCCCAACAGTGTTATGGTAACAAAAAAGTCCCTCAGGGCCTGAGACCCAACACTCCGGTTATGCCAGGCCAATCAACTGGCCCAGGGACCACCCTGGGAAGGCAGGTTTGTGTTAAGCCAAGTCAAAGAGATAGGGAGAATAATTAAGGCTTTAAGGAGATCCTCAACTTTCCTGCTTGGAATCCCTGCCCTCCTGGTGCAGGTGCTCATCAGGCTGGCCACAGGCTTGTAGCTTTATCAGTAAATCTGCATTCCGAAGTCTTCAGAAAAGTGAAACCTCAAAAAGTGTGACCTCTCGGCTCTCTCCTGTTTGATGCACTTTGGGCTTCCCTAACCTTTGGGTTTCTTTACTCTTTCTCCAAAGTTGCAGTCGCTGCCATGCAGCTGCTGGTTTGCCCATGTGACCTCTGTGTGGGCTTTGAATGAACACAGGGTCCTCCCTTCCTTCCTTCCTTCCTTCCTTCCTTCCTTCCTTCCTTCCTTCCTTCCTTCCTTCCTTCCTTCCTCCCTTCTTCCCTCCCTCCCTCCCCCTTTTTAATTTTCTCTCTTCCGTTCTCCTCCTCCAGACAGACGTTGAGATTTACAGCTTGCCTGCCCTGAGGGTTTTTATTTTAAACTCTAATAAAATTGTCCTGAAGCTTCTGTTTGAGTCCACTCTTAAATTATTTTATTAATGATATTAAGAACCCCAAAAGTGACCCCATTTTCTTCTGTATCATCAATGGGAAGCAGAGGTGAGAGTATTTCCTGGGGATTGCTTGTCAGCCAGTAGAACTGAATTGATGAACTCCAAGTTCAGAGAGAGACCCTGTCTCAAAAAATAAGGTGAAAAGTGATTGATAGAGACACTAGACATTGACCATCCACACACATGTACACATGCACTGTCACAGACTCATGCATCTGCATTCACAAAGCACCACACATATGTTAGAGTAGCGATAAAAGGCAAATAAGGAAAACACCTGGGCAAGAGAATTGAATCTCTGGCTATGTAGAGATGTAACAGTCCAGTGGAGTTGGGTCAGTCCTCAGAAAGGTGGGCTCATCATAAGCTTTGACAAAGGAATAGGTGGAATAATCACTCTTTAATGAGATATACTTTTCTTCCCAGAATTCCCACCCCTGGCACAGTCTCTGCTAATCAATACTCCCTGAGCTTCCACTGGGCTTGCTTACCTTTCCTCCGTCTTTCCTTTTCCTTCTCTGACATCTTTTTCTTTTGTATGTTGGTCAGAACCTAAGTATGCTCTTCCTGGTACTATGGGCTTTCTTACTCTTTCTCTGAGGACCCCTTTCCACCATCTAGGCTGCCTTGAGTCTGACCTCCATGCTGGTTTAAATTGCATTGTTTCTTTACCCCTCTCTCCTTCATAGTCTTCCTTCAGGCAACTGTTAAGCTTTACAGCTTACCTGTCCTGGGGTATTTTTCTTTTAAATTCTAATAAAATTGTCTTCAAATTTTCATTACAGTTCATTCTTCAATCCTTTTATTAATGACACTAAGAATCCTAAGAGGAGACCCCAGATTCCCCAGTAACACACACACACACACACACACACACACACACACACACACGAGACTCCAGTTTCCCTAGTAACACACACCCACACACACACACATGCACACGCGCACGCACACACACACACACACACACACACACACAAACATCAGTGTCGAGCACTGATGGCGGTGAGATGCCACTCCATTCTGAGTGCACTAGCAGCCTTGTTTGTAACACTGTCTCCGTCCTGCCATGGACCCTTCAACTTACATGTTGCCTCTTAGATCTGAGAATTTTAAAGGAGTCAAAATGCTTAGCATGAACGAACATTTTCCTCTCTTTTCATATAATCTTGAATGTCTCAAGAGACATTTAACAATCTAATAACCATCTATGGCAATAGAGTGGAATTAAATCAGACATCACAGCCCACGTTGTGACAGATTTAACCAGTGACAAGTCATACATAATCAGTCATCAGTATTTGCCAACGACCTTGTAGAAAGAAACCCCCATGAGCACATCTGAAGAAAGAGTAACGCATTTCCTTTGCTCTTGAAAATGTACAGTAGCTCCAGAAATAGGCAAATATTTTTAAAAGATGGCTAACACATGAAGGCAGCGGACAGGGCTACCAGGAAGTCAGCATATGAACCTACTCACCTAGACGATTGCAGTAGTTTCCTAAGGGTTTTCCTGCTTTAACTTTTGTTTCCCTACAAGTCCAGTCTCAAAGAGCAATCAAGGAGATAAAAGGTGTCTTTTATCACAGCAGGTTGTACAGAGCCAGCAAGAGCTTTCTTTTCAATTAGAGCAAAAGCTAAAGTCCTAGAACGGCCTATAGAGCGCCTCACAATTTGACCCCTGTGACTCCCTGACCTTATTTCCCATTGTATTTTTGTTGTTGTTCACTCTGTTCTAGAGCATTAGTCTTAAAATACCGGTAACATGCCGGCTTCCCTCTGGCTTGGCTGTTTTCTCTCTGGAGTGTTCCTCCCCCAGGTCTGGCATGGCTCCGTCCTCTTGACTCCCACATTGCTTTGCTCAAATGACATCTGTGTTTGTTTCCTTGTTTTAAAGATCTCCGCAGAGTATTTTCCCTTTTCTGCTACCACATATTATGGACTTATGTATCTTGTTCATAGTCTGATCGCCTTTCTGCTGAAATAGATAGCTTTGTCGTTTTAAAAAAGTGCTGTAAGTAAGCTAAGCGAGATGGCCTGGCTGGTGACAGTGCTTGCCACACAAGCCTGGAGACCTGAAATTGATCCATGGACCCTACATAAAAGTGGAAGGGGAGAACCGACCCCAGGAAACTCACCCCCCCCCCAGGAATCTCATGCTGGGAGTAGGGGAGGCTGAAGCCTGGGGAAACCTGCCTTCCAGAAAGAGATCTCACACAGTGCTGACAGCCTGTCAGACCACTTCGCTGGAGAGATGGGAGCCCAGGCAATGATTGTACAATGGTGGCATGACCATGCCTTGACCAAGACTGCTCACAGGTGCATCCAGGGCTCTCTACCGAAACTTTAATCTTACTTCTGGACTCAGGAGATGGACTTGAAGGGGCACTCAATCTCTTTGTCTTAACATGGCTACATTGACTGTGAGGGGAAAGGAATATACCCATGCATTTAATATCACTTTTGTGTGTTTAATCTTGTTCTATGCTTGATTTCTATGTTAGGACATAGTACTCATGATATAGTGGTTTTAGGAATGCTCACTAAACTTTGTGTTGAAAAAGGAATCAACACTAAAACTGAGCAAGTTATCTTGAGAAATGAGCACACAGTTATCTAGTGGGACATTTGTTTGCAACCCCCTTGCTTGAAATAATGTCTGTTGTTAAGGAATGTCTTAACCCCTGCCCTAAATATCTGCCTCTGCAAACATACCTGCAGAACGAATTTGTCTTCAGTGGTCTTAAGGCATGTAAGGACCTGTGTTGGTCATCAGGTAGGCTGTAACTTAAACCTACCAATGTTGTATTGATGAATAACATGGGGAGACTTAATCCAGAGCTGGAATTCTTTGGGAGGAAACTCTGCTTGAGTCCCCTGGCATAAACAAGCTTTCCTAAATTCTCCACACGAATCTCCTGGTGGCCTTCTCTGTGTGTGGCAGGTTCCCTGCCTCAGCTTCCTATAACAAACACATTTCCCTTTTCTGCATTTTTTATTATTAATTTGATTATTTTAATTAGCTTCTCAGGGATAGGTGGTCAAACCTGGTTTCTTGGGGTACATATGGTGACTCCCAGTTTGGTAACATTACTGGTAGTGTTAGTTCCTTTTTTTGCTAAGCCAAAGTGCGTGTAACTCAGGATGCACTGGTGGTTAAATAGAGGGTGCGTCATTCAAATTGAGAGCTGCCGACTTTAGAGGAAGTTGCCTCTTTGTCCTGTACTTTACAATCAATTACATTATTACCAAAGGGTGGCACAAGCCAAAAATGAGTCATTAGGAGAATAAATAAACGTAAAGTAGCTAAGATGAGCTGTGTTAGCCAGGGTCCTGCCATGGTAAAACCTCTCCCATTTTGGTTAAATGGCAAAAATTTCCCTGAATCACCATAATTAGTATTCGATATTGAAAATAAATTGTTTTTTCCTGGATTCCTGCCAGCAGTCCCCTGCAGACCCCTGATTATGGTGAGTCATAAGAGATGTTTAGCGATTACATGGCATTCTTCAACTCACTAGGTACCTCTAGCAATGGCCAACTGTGGGTCAAAAAAGGAAAGTATTCAGCCTCATTCCCCATCCCACCCTTTTGCCTTACAGTTAACCCAGCTTGTAAGCAGTGGGCTCTGATTCTTACAGGAGCCCTCTCTGCAAGATTTTTCTCCAAAGCCCTATACTATGTTAAATGACTCATTCCCATGCGGATCTTCCCTTCTCGTCAACTTTCAAACTGTCTTCAGTAACCCTTCCAAGACCAAAGGATTGCTCCTCCAAGATTAAATCTCTGCAGTTAGAAAGTTAAGCAGCAATCTTAATAACTTAAAATTATCCAACACTGTTGAATTCTCTCTGAAGACAGTATTAACTCCATCTTCATGCAGCTCATTCAGGAAGCTACCAAGAGAAACGTTTGCCAATGGTAAAAGTTAGTCTCGTTAAGGGGAAGAACATCACTGACTCCAGTAGAAGTTACTCCCAGTGCTATTGGGGTAGTTGTTTTGGTGCTAGAGAGATAAGCAATGTCCATCCTGACTGTAACCTGAGAGAAACTTAGCTCTAGAGAGTCTCCAGTTATATTGACAACTTAAAATTGTGATTCCTCCTCTGTCAGGAGAAATTGCTTCTTAGATGCCCTCCCTAGAGGTACTTTTAGTTTTGAAACAATTTTTCATTCGGCATTTCCTAATACTGCCTGAGGATAAAATACCATTACGGTATATACATCAGTATTCTACGAGTTGTACTAGCAAAATCTACAGGACATTTATCCAAAATGCATGTAATAAATGCCATAAGGAAAACATTCAAAGGAACAGAAAATATCAGTAACAGATTCGACAAGTCTGTGTCAAGGGAGAAATCTTTGCGAAGGGGAAGCTGTTTGAAGCCCTGCAAAAAGATAAGTTGTTTATCAGCTCTATCTGAGCTCCAAAGTTCTCTGCAATGCACCTCTTTGCTGAGCGCAATGATTCGTTGCATCCCAGGCTTCGGGGTGCATGGCGTAGGTGCTCCCACACTGTACTTCACTGGTGCTTTTGAGGCAGGAAAATGGGCAAGAAACCCCGGAGATGAACACAGGGAATCTGACAGCAAGAGAAAGCCTGGCGTTCCCTCAGTCCACCTGAGTTGCATTTCACCCAGAAAACCCACTGTATAGAGGGGCGGTGGGCACTATGCGAATGGTCATGAACAGTCACCCCAGTGCTTCTACTGGAGCAAGACCATAGGGGAGGCACAGCATTCCTCCAAGATCCCCCCGCATCGCCCCTGATAAACGATCCCCTTCACTTTAACCATCCATGTGTCTCTGTGCAGTTCATTCTAAAGAGGCACAAGAATCTGGAAACTTCAGTATCTTCCCTCCACTCAGATCTGAATCTGTGTCACCTTCACCATAAAATATGAAAGGACTGATTTCCTTTTACTAACTACTTAAAAATGCTCATTGCTTTCCGGGTCCCTGTTTATATATTCTTCTTTTTCCCTCCAGAATTTTCTCCAAAAAATATTTACTGCAGTTTTTCCTCACAGAAGGGAGGTAATTTTCTGGAGGATGTACGTGGCGGGAAATGAGGAAACCATGCTTCAAATTTCCCACCACATTCCCAAAGTCCTCAT